AAATCAGAAGCTGAATGACGGTTCATAAGGAATTTAATTTCGCAATACATGTATATTTGTTTCTATATTGTAATTCATTTAAGAGTTTCGTGTTAAGAAAATGAGAAGAAATTCTAAAATGACACATTTTAGTGTGACATGAATTTGGCGATTATTAAGAAAATAAAAACAGAGAAAAGGCAATGGGAAGGCATGGTGTATCTGCCTAATGCATCTGGGGACGTGAATGCAAAAGAATTTTTGGCTGAATTTTGTGAAAAAAATGCAGATATTATCGGAGGCTCCATATTCCCTCGTATGAATTTCTAAAAAGAAACATGAGAGTCCTGATGATGGATATATTAAAAACCAGACCGATCTTGCCATGATAATTCAAACATGAAAAGCTCGGAACTCAGTTATGTAAGAGAAAAATGTCGAAAAATAGAAAGACACAAATTTCAAATCCTACTATAAAATCGAATTCAAAGTCAAGATACCACAGAGGACCTAGATAAATGAATGGGATATAGGCAAAGACATTTTCCAAAAAAGTAATTGAAATCCTGATTTAAAAAAATATTAAATGAAAGAATTGATCTTAGTAAAACAAAAAAAAAACCAATTAGCAGGAAGCTAATGAAGATGCAAAAACAAGTTTGCAAAGACTTTAACTCCAAACTAAATATTAAGAGCTATACAAAGAGGTCGATCATAACTACAGGCAAGAACAAAAGACTTTATAAATGAGTTTGCTTAGAAAACTGAGCTTGCAGATCGTAGAGGAGATTTGAAGACATATAACATCACATAACATCACAAAACTCTTCAAAAGAGACGATCTGGTGTAGCCAACTCGGTCAAAAAATAATTGTAAAGCTAGATCTAGATGAACAACTAAATAAACAAAATAAACACGTCAATGAGTTACTGAATAGACCGAACTCTAGAAGACCATTTTGATTTATCTTTGGGGAAGACGTGAATGCAAAAATATCTTGAAGAAGTGAGAAGGAAGTGACAACAGCTAATAGTGTTATTTTTTTTTAAATATGGAAAAAGCAGGAATCGATGAAAAACTAACTGAGGCATTGGGGACCATATGAGACAGATGAAGCATAGAAAAAGAAGCTCAAGATCTATACCAAGAAAAATGAGATACCTGACAAAAAGTGAAAGAATTGTAACATTCGAAGAAGATGATACAGAAGAAGCCTAGGGTCAATCAATTTTGTCATCTTGGTAGTATTATAAACAAAACAGGGGAGCTGACATAAATATTTAGTCTAAAGCAAAGGGATGCAGGTTTTTACAATGCTAAGGTCAGCATTGCAGTCTACAGAAACATCAGAGAATGTCAAAATTAGAATATTCAGGACCAACATGAAATCCATTTGATATCATCAATAGACTCCGTTTAAGGGAAACTATTGAGACATTACGAAATCCCAGTTTAGATCGACATCATTATAAAAACATTGTCCTAAGTCAAAAGTACAAATAATACATAAAAGAACTCAGAATGTTAGAAACATTCATTGTAAAACTCAGAAACGGGGGTTTAACAAGGTTATCCCCTATGACCAACACTACTAATAGTTGCTGACTGGGTTTTACAAAAGTGCAAGAGGAATTCATCCCCATTCGGTTAGATAATATTCGACTTAGACTTTGCAGAAGACCGTTCACTTCTATCTCAAACTCTAAGAGACATGAAAAGAGCCTAAAGATATAAAGTTAATAAGAGTTATGACCAAGAAAGGAGGAAAGGTAACATTTGAAGAAGATGACATAAAAGAAGTCAATCAATTGTCTTATCTTAATAGTAACAAAACAATTGAACTGATATAAACATTTTACTTAACGTTATCAAAGGAATGCAGGCTTTTGCAATGTTAAGATCTTAGAAGTTTACAGCAACCTCATCTTTACCCTAAACATGGTTCCTTTGATAGCAATTCAGCTCTCAAGGGCTGCTCTTTATGAGCATTTCAACTATCTGACTTGGAAACAGAGTATACATGAAGGCAGCCGGTATGAGTCACCTTTAAAGTAATATACGAAAAAGATGGCGGAATTTGGGTCACATAATTTTTTGGCGCCAATGACAGTCTCATGCCAAGGAGTACTTGAATAGGTATACGAGGGGTGATCAAAAAGTTCGCGAACTATCTCTATATTTACAAAACCACAATTCAGATCAGAATGAAATTTGGCTCACTTATAGTCATTCACATGTTCTATAATTAGCAAATGTTATATAATGTTTTGCTCCTTGTTTGTGACGTCACAATGTGAAATTGACGTCAATATGTAGGTGACTTGTGACAAAAAATGGTTCACTCAGTCGTACTCGAGCAACGAACGGCTGTAAAGTTTAATGTATATCTCGGAAATTTCTTTGCAGTAGATTATGATAATTTGTGCAAGGTTTATGAAGAGAGGTAACTTGCCAGAAGTTCAATCATTAATTGGATTGATTGTTTAAGTGAAGGCAGAGAAATGGTTAGAAATGATGTTTGTTCTGTTGCCCAACGAAAGCAAGCCGGTAAAAAGATGTGTCCTTAGTTGAGTAATTTGTTTTGAAAGATCGCCAAGTTACAGTTAGATAAATAGCGAAATATCTGAACAATAATATGATTATTAAATCCCTAAAATATTGTTTACTTTAGACTTTAAACATATGAGATATGAGAAAAAGAAAGTACACATACTTTTTCCACATTGAATAAACGACGCTCCCGAGACAGAGGGCTCGGGTTGTGATGGTCACCATGCTATTTCTGAGAAAGGATATCCATATGCACCCATCCTATTACCGAGATCTGGCCATTTCTGTCAGATGTTCTGTTCTTGTTACAAAGAATAAGTTGCATGGTAAGAAATATAAGACTCGGAAAACCTTTTTATTTTATGTTAACAGACCCCTATGGAACATGTCACGTGACCGCCTGGATCACGAGATTCGCGCATGGGCAGAACAATGGCAGATGTGCATTGAAATCGGAGAGGATACTTTAAAAAATAGTGAACACTGAAACATCATTTTATTTCTTTTAAGGAAGTAGTTCAATTAGTTCGCGAACTTTTTGATCACCCCTCGTAGAATACCTTGTTTGATTAACTTGATGTTTCAGACAGAATCACCATGTATTGCTCTATGCAGCTGTAACTACGATTAAGATTTGGTCGTATAAGTACTCTAAAACAGCAGTAAACTGTACTTTATCGCATGCTCACTGAATATATATACGTGTGATAAGACTTTATTTGTCTTAGTTTTACCACATTTTGATTGGATATTTCAAAGATTTTTAAAAGACACAAAAAATGAAAATGCTAAACATGCAATATAAGAATTAAATCATGGCAGCCATTTTGAAAATGGCCGAAACTTGAATGACTAACAATATGTCCTATTCAGGTAATAGACAAGGAACCATCATGCCAAATTTGGTGTTTGTCTCCCAAAGTGAACTATGTTTTCAACTAGCCGCTACACTATGACAATCACCCTTGCTTTCACAAAATGAAAATATCTTCCTTATACGTGTAAGATTTAGTTCAATCATAAAAGCACATTAAGTCGCGGAGTAAGGAGTTGATCCTTACGTCGCGGGTTCGATTCCTACTGCGGAATGTGCAGACCGGTCCTTCGGATCAAACCGTATAAACCGAGGTCCCGTGTCGCAGTAGGTGCTGGCACGAAAAAGATCCCTCACTGCTCAATGGCTCTGATTGTCGAGTATAGGTCAAAATTTGTAGCCCTCCACCGGCAAGTGGTGGCGTCTTCATATGAGTGAAAAATTCTCGAGAGGGACGTTAAACAACATACAACTAATCAATCATAAAAGCACATTCAGAAATAGAGATTAACAACAAAGCAGTCGTAAAAGTACGTCAAACTATTCTAATGAATTTACAATAATAAACAATATCGGTTGCTGATTCAATATCTATGCCACACTAAATTAAAAAAATGAGTTAAACATAGTTTTACAGTTGTTAAACTAGGTAAATCATCTGTAAAATATAGCTTAGGTAAGGTAAACTGTAGATGTTTGTTTAATTGTAGTTTTCATCTGAAATACTATGTTTAACTCTTTTAAATCATAGAATTCAAATAAAAAACAAAGTTTATCTATGAATAAATGTCAATTATAGTGTTTGTTGAGAACAAAGAAGAAACCAATTTTAAACGTTAATAAGCATTGATAAGACCTGATATAAAAAAAAAAAATAGATCCATTCTATCACTAACTATGTGACCATTATCTATGTTCAGAGTTGTTGCTAAAGTTTACAGGTAGTGAAACTGTAATTATCTGATAGCCCATGTTTTGCAATTGCAATGAAATAATTGTTTACACTGTTAAGTAAAATTTACACTTGAGAAACATATACCCTTAGAGGTGTAAACAGTAGTTAAAAGATGTTGAATATAAAAACATGTATACGTCTTTCACTATAGTTTAGGCTTCATATACTATACTTTAGAATTGAAAACAAATAGTCTAACAACTGTAAAACTATGTTAAGCTCATTTGTTGTGAATTTGGCGACCTATAAATATCATCAAAATTTATACAAACCAATCTATAGGAATCTGACCGTGAAAGTCAATTTAGATACTTTTCCACGGGTTAAGAGATAACAAAAGTGTTATACATACTGGTAGATTGCTTGATAAAATTCTTTTCTTTTTTTTCAAATTAACGGTCTGATTTTTTTTCTCCAAAAAATCAATAGAAGGTCGATATTCAGCAGCATAGAAATAAATGAACTTGAACTTTTCATATTATACTTAGTACACTTGATATATGAAGAAAAGTCAAGGAAAAACAAAAAAGGTGAGCACAAGAAATATTTATTAACCTTAGAGTTCCTAGATTCAGTATTACATGCTTATTCTATTTTTTGTATTTTTAAAGACAGGACTGTCCCCTTAACCCATTCTCCACTCCAATGGGAGTAAATTAAAATCCCGTACAGGAACACTCTAATTTGAGTTGTATTCTACCACTTTTTCAATATTATTGACTTGTTTTGATATCAATACAGAGAAACGGAATTTTCTATTCTGTACTTTGTAAATATGTATTTCTAAGCGAATAAATGAGAAATCCAGCAACATATATTTATTCCACAATCTTAATTTTTTTATTTACACATTTCCAGCAACACAGGAGGTATTGTCTTATTTTGGTGAACATACAGACCCTCGCTAATTTTTTGCATCTGAACTAGTATCTAATAAAGTGATCTGAGCGTTAAGCTGTTTCCTTTCTGACGATATCCGACGAAGACTTTTCTTTGCAAAAAGACACCATCGAATCAACAGAACTTAGTTCAGACAATGTGTGTCTCTCCGACATTCGACTATCGTACTTCCGGGTTGGTCTCTCACAATTGCAGCACATGACATTTACAAACTCTCGTTTGAAATTTCGATACGAGAGAATATACATAAAAGCGTTTATGCAACAGTGGAGTACTTCTAGGTACATGATCATTACCATTGTGATATCCATTTCCGTTTCCGGGATAAACAAAAATGAGCGAACTTTGAATTCGCCAAAGACAACTATCAGTGTGAAAGCTGTCTTCGGAACAACACAAAAAAGGAATGCAACCATCAGAATTACAAGTGTTTTAGTAAGCCTGTTTCTCTGGGTTACCTTGCGTTTCAGGAATTTACTTGGAGTGCTGTCACTTAGCTGCCTTACTAGTTTGTCCTTCGAATGGAGACTAAATGCGGTCATGGTTATCGAAAATCCGATGATGACGACAGCAATGGGAATTATTCTTGTAATTAATGTATCTATTAAAGTTACTGACTTCTTGTCCAAGTCAAAAAACTTAGGTATTGGAACTACCATCCCTAAAAAGTAAATGAGACATACTGCAACATACATTTTGCGGGTCGTCCAAGAATTGTGAAACTTCATCGGCATGGTCATTACGCATGCTCGTTCAACTGCAATCGAAGCTGTAGTAAAAGCAATCCAAGATATTGGAATGTTTCCAATAAAGGCATAAAATTTCATCTGCCATTGGCTATTTTCTGTGATTACCGATTCAAAACCATATAATTTAAGATTTAATCTTAGAGTCAACCAAGATACTAAAACAACGGACAAAAGGTTTGCCACACAAATACTCTGTAAAAGAACAAGACTTCCTGTCTTCTTCCGCTGACGGAAAAGCACGACTAAGCCAGAAATGTTTCCGTAAAGTCCGATCAGGAGAGTCACCGGATATAGTACTGAAAGCGTCGCCCACAGAAACGTTGGATCCGCCATTTATCAATCTAAAATAAAGAAACATATTTTTTGTATTTTGTAGAAAAAAATTAGCATATATGAGATAACAATGCTTTTTGATTGAATATTATCTTAATCTATTCTTTTCTATTTTTTTTCTCCCCTCTATTAAACATCAAACCCTATTTTTATTATATTTTCCAAAATTTTGACAGTCTTGTCTTTCGTGTTTCTTTCGGTTTGTGTACAATATGCAAGGATAACAAGCAATAAGTAAAATGAATTAATGCGAAAACCACAGAATTAATTATACATGAATAAAACTTTATAATTTATAATTTTTCTTATCCAATATCTACCTTTAACATGTGTAGTTTCGAGCTGATGTTCTTTCCATCCAATTATGTCATATTTTCAACGTCACGGAATGCTTTTTTATGATTTAAATATATCAACCCTTTTCGTTTTTTAAAGGGTTTGGGGGTTTTAAATCAATTTCTGCGTTCACTTGGGACTTACAAATTCAAATTTGATATACTACTAAGTGACAGACTCAATCACAAAGTATTTGAAATGTAATTAATAAAATATCTCTTTATTTCCTCTCTTTAATTTTTTTTAAACTTCTTCTTGGCATTCAATTGATTCAATTTCTATTCTATTACATTGGTAGATTGACTGAAAAAAATACTAGTAGTTAGACGTTAATAGTTTTTAATATAATTACATATACATATGCACATAAAGCACAAACTTACGTGCATTTGCTTATGATATTAGCTGACATCACAAGCCATAACTACATTATTCCTAAATTTTAAATTAATAAACAAAGACATTTTATGTCTGATTTTTCGTTTCACATAGGCATTTTCATAGTAATTTTATAGTGCTGGTTTCGAGATCATATTTGCACGAAATGTACATTATATCATACAGATGTAAAGAATTTAAAGAACAACTTGGATTGCAGTTCAGAAAAAAAAAATGAAATAATATGTTACATTCAAATATTATTAAATTAAAGTCCTGTCACCCTTTAAAAAATCTACCATAATTTCTGTTTAATTACCACAACGATTGTAAATTATTTTATCCATTTACATTTTTTTTTTTTAGCTTTTTTTCAAAAAGTGCTCGATCCCTCTCTTGTTTAAATGTTCATATTTCCGGTTAATCAATTATAATAATATATAATTAATTATGCTCTTAGGTTTCCAATATCTTTTGTCCTTTAGTAAATATGAGACTAAAAACGACAACTTCATAAAATTCGAGATATAAAATTAGTAATTTCCTTTCAAAATACTTACTTTAAAAGAGATGTCTCAGCCAATTCGATCTTCAGTGAACTAGTGAAATTTCAATTGTTGTATGAACAATTTTCTCTCGAGTGTCAGTCAGTTAACATAATATTCGTGTAATGGTTACATGCATGTACTGGCGTCATCCATAAGAGAAGTTATATAAAATTGCTATGCTTGATTTTGCATGCTGACATTTATCTTCAATTTCCATCTTATTTATCGGAAGAAAAAAAATGTAAATAAAGGAAAAATATGACACGCAAGTTTTAACATTATCTTGTTCCTGTTAATATTTTACAAAAGTATTTTTTTTTTCAGTATTGTCCAAGACTTTTAAAAGTAATTTCCGATTTCATTGAACTCCTTGACTTTCAATGATGCGCTAGAGAGCGTACATGCGTAAATGTTACACAATAACATTTAATGGAAGGTTTATGTGATTTTTATTTATTTTATTTCAGGGTTGATGGTTTCCTCACGTTATGCAATTAAAAAACAAGGTCATTTTATGGACTCCTTGTACTTATAAGTTATTTGTCAATATAATCCTTCTATTGAACAGATCTAGGTTTATTTCGAGGGTGTAGTATCCTCGCAAGAAAAGGCGGTTAATTGTTTGAAGATGTCGAGCTCAAAACTCTGTCAAACAGAGAGAAAACAAACAAAGCAATCAGATATATATACTAGTACCTTAAAACAGTTCACAAATTTCCTTTGTTTCACAGTTTGGCTATTTGGATACTAAATAAAAGGCATTGGCATTTAGGAATGAGTGCAAACTTTTTAAAGTATATCTTAATCTTCTGAAATGATGGAGCCTATAGGATTTGTCAGTACGCAAAGATAACTTTTTATTGATCTTAAAGATATATAATCATTTTAATATAAAAATGAAACCTCAAGAAAATAACTGTGTTATATTTCTCACACACTGGGAGATGATATACTAGTATTTCGTATGGTTGTGCGTCTATCTAGCTGTGTTCCCTCCGTTAAAAATTGTGTCTGGTCATTGAAATCCGGAATCTTTTATTAAGATACATAATCGCTATTGGTATATCTCAAAGTCAGAGTTGTGACCCCAAGGTCATATCATATACCTATGACAAAAAGTATAATTAGGGGAAGTGAAACTTCCCTTTTTGTCAGCTACAACAAAATCTCGTTTCATATCACATCTTGTCTTTTTATTCAAGACGAAATTATGACTCATAAATGCTACAGTTATTTTCTAAATTTATAATTGTTTTGGCATGAGAAAACTCACTTCATTAAACTTTTTTGATTCTTGAGCCGTAAATGGCTTTGGTGGGAGTTCTGCTAATATTGCACGATTTTCCTTTTTTTCTAACCAATATTATTTTTTCCACATGAATTTTTGGAATCAATACGTCAGAAGTTTCATTAATTATACATTTTTTTTAAATTAAGCTGAAATTATTAGCTCGAAAATATCATTACCATAAAACAAATGTGGCTCTTAAAGTTCACTTTATCCTCAGGGAAAACAAGTACAATTTAAAATTGCAAATGTACATTACTTGTTTAGCTTTAAATTTTCTGGATCACATAAGATGCTAACTTAATTAGAAAATTCACTCTCTATTTTCAGAATTGGATGTAAACCTTGCACCGTTAAATCACTATTCGCCATTCCTGGAACTTTCAGACCTGTGGGATCTTTCGTAAAACCTTTAACAAGAGAGAGCTACAGATCACAAGGAGATGTAGAAAATAGTAGATAAACAATGACAGTTAAATTATCTAAAATTGGAATAATTAAACTTTGCATTAGACAGGAATAATATTTACAGTAAAGGTAGTTTTGCCTCCTACTGATTCCTTATGCAATTGTTAACATCTAAATATGTCTTTTTTACTTGTATTTGATATGCCAGTTATTATCATTTTACGATAGCCCTTTTAGGAGGTCGATCCATTAATATATTGACATAACAGTAAAGCATGGATCGAACGAATTAAACAGTAACATTTGGTATGCTATAGACAACTCTCTAACCTCATTTGTAGGTGCTGTCACGTTCTGATCGCTTGACTTGTTCCCATGAAGGTGATAAGTTTCATACGCTGTGCAGCGACTTTTTCCTAATTTTCTTTATTTTTCGTTGTATATCATCTCCATATTCGATAAACAAATTGTGAATACAAAGTTAATGTTAATTAATTCGTATTTTGTTTGATTTTGGCTTGGAATAAAGTAGATTTCAGTTGTGGTGATTATTTATCACTGTTATCTTCATCTTTTGATTTCGATGCCATTTTTTGTATCAAACAGATTATATATATAAATATATATATAAACCAGACCTGCACCAAAATCCAGAAAAATGGAACCAACGGAACAACTTGGACCTCGGTTTTCGGTTATTTTGGGTAATTGTGACAGCCTATTTCTTTACCGTGTACATATCACATTTATTATCTAAATCCTGGATCCATATCCGACAACTGATGTATATTCTTGATGTTTACATCTGTCAGTTCTTTCCTGTTTCTGTGTAATAAGAATCGAGAAGTGGCGAACCTTTCATCACAATATGTGAGGTGAATATAGAGGTACCTCCTGGTCTTGCGGCATGTACAGTTATCTCTCTTTATGTTGTAAAATAATGTTGTGATTGTGAATTTCTTGACTCAGATTTTAGTTTATTGAAAAATTAGCAAATAAATTTGATATGATTTTGAGTTAACATGGTTTAGACACTGTCTAGACAGTGCTTATACCCACGATTTTAACATATACATGCAAGTAACACTGGCAAATATATAAAATGTTTTTTGGTTCGTTATATACATACATGTATTTTTGTCTAACTGGTGAATATATTTATGATGTACCATGTTTAAGTCTGAATACAAGCTATGTGTGCCATTCACATATGACCCCAGTATGAATGCAAGGAATTTTTGGCCATTTTTAGAGCAGGTATTTCTACAAATATAATTGATTAAAATGTCTCCAGTTTAGAAGAAAAAAGTCCTCTATCTACCATATTAAAAAAAAACACCTGTAACAGTAAATACAAGATGATATTTCAAATCTGTTTTTTTTTAATATTTTAATTTCTCTTTAGTATTTTTTTTTTTTGCTCTGACTGTTAGATTGTTATCTGCTTTTAACTTGAATGCACGAGTCTAAGAGGGGTGGGGTATAGCACAGTAAGAAAAATATTACCTTGGCCTCCCTAAAAGAAAAGGACCCCTGATAAAATGTTGAAGAGAGTCATATATATTAATGAAAGCAGCTTATCCCACCCCCTCCCCAAAAATATGATCTTCGGGTTTGAAGATGCACTATTTTGCTTGTTAGAATATTTTTGACGGTTTTTTTTTCTTTCTTCTTTTGAGTGGATGTAGAACCCATCATCCCTCTCTCCCTGAAAAAAAATCATGGATCCGCGCATGACCTGTGACCTTAATATCCTTTTAAGGTTTCTCTTCATATAAAAGAGAAAATTTTTCGAAGGGACGAAAGATTGAATTACACATTAATGACCAAAAAATCTGCTTTATGCTATTTTCTTAAGTATTGTGTTTTTTGATCAATTTATCATTAGTGTTTATTTATGAAAATACTTGATACATATCTATTTATCCGGTATTCTTTATGTCAAGTACAAACATAAATTAGTTATTGATTTTTTTTTTTTACAGATATCCAACAGTCTTTGTTATAAATCATAAACCGTCCTTACTGACCCAAAGGGTGCATATCATACCATGTCTCATATCATAGCATGACCGTGTGTTCCTTGTCATGATCAGGTAAACGGAAAATCTGTAGAAATTTCAGTGTGTAAACAATTAATATAAAATTAACAATTAATATAAAAAACGTCAGTCAGCATTTGACCTAATGATAGATTGTACTGATTGTTCTTTGAATTTGTAATATAACATAATTATACAGTAAAGCATTCTTATTACGAAGTGCCAGGGACGGGCGATTTTGCTTCGTTAGAAGCGTAATTCGTTGTATCCAATAAGTTTACAATATATTTTAAAATCATGGGGAATGAAAATCACTTTGCTATAAGCGTCAATGTCTTATAAGCGTGTTCACTTTAAGCGTGTTTTACTGTACAAACTATTTATTACATACATTTTTTTTTATTTTTATTGATACTTTAAATATCAAATTTAAGTTAAATGTGTCAAAGGATATACCCAACTTTCCATATTCTATTCAAATTATTTGTGTCGTATAGATTATGATAACGATTCACGTCCTATAGCTGCTCTTTTTATCATTGTCAAAGGTGTGAACGAGTTCTATAAATAAATGAGAGATGTGCTTGAATGAAATGAGAGAAAATTTTAAGTTTTGGTCAGTGACAAGATGCACCTAAAAGGAAGAGTACCTTGGAAGGGTTTCGACATGACCGATAAAGGAATAGAATGAAATTTTGTGGAGATAAGGAACAGTATTCGAGCTCAAAAGTTCATTAAACATTATAAAAAAAAAAAATATAAAACAATTATATAGATTCAATGCTTTCTTTTATTTTTTTCTATTCGTAAGAGACAGAATTTGAAGGAAATTTGAATTTGTTGGTTGAAATGAAATAGTTAGAAATATTCTTTTCGATTCTGAAGCAATATTTTCCATGACACAGTCCTAACCGTTTTTCCAATTTTGTGATTAAATTAACAGCCCACTTATTTAATTTTCGTCCATGTCGTTATCGGCGAAAAAAAAAAAAAAAAAAAAAAAAAAAACGTTGAAATGCTGGCACTGGGTAACTTGACTTTAAATATTTGGTTGATTTGACACCTGATGTTAGTGCAATAAATTTATTTCTATCTAAGATTTTTATGTTTGTTTATATAAGCACAAATTGGAAGGTAAATGATTACCATTAGACTCATAATAGGCATACTTATAGAAAATTCGGTTCGTGTGATATTTTTATTTTAGATATTGAATGTTCTTTACATTTCCACTAAAATACTCAGCAACGAACAGATGGTCATTTTTGTCCACATATAATCCATAGGGATTTTTCAGACCACAGTTATCTATGTAACTGAGGAAC